CAAGGTGTGCCGATAACAGCATCCCGTTTAATGAATAGCTTTTATCACTACAATTATTCGTGGCGCCTCAAACCTGGAACTGAATAACTTCTCTGTTTCCCAGAGAGCGATGAGCCCGAAGAGGGTATGCGGTTAAAGTCAGGATAACGATATCCCGTAGCAGGAGTTGCTATTGATATTTCGAATGCACTTGTGCTATAACTTATAGAGCTATTTATGTACACTTCGAAAATAACTTTACCGAAAGCAGAATATCCCAACTAACAATTATCACTCCTATTAGAGTTGCAAGAATGATTATACAGTATTCCTACAGCATTGTATACTGTAAGAACGTTAGCAAAACCCTCTTAGAACAGCTATACAAGCGGAATGGGCACACCGAATAGGACACTTCAGTCATTTAAGAGGTGGTATAAGGGCTGCAGGTAACAGTTATAAAACAAAAGTGTAAGCCTCTTGCAGCCGCTATAGGATATTTGCGTCAGTGCAAGATTCAGTTTTTGTCAACTATACAACTATTCTCTTACGTGATTCTACTTTATTGCAACCAAACTATTTCCTATGTATTGTTTAGACGAAGTGAAGTATATATAACTACATCTTGTTTACTTACATATCGGCCATTGTGAATTTCATACACAGGTATATGATAAACTTCTACACTTTGATATAGGGCTATTGAATTACTTGCGCAGCAAATTTTATTGTGATTATCGTGCAAATTAGTAACCCAATTTCTACGGGCTTCGTATTTGATTCATATTTTGACAATGATCCAAAGTATGTCTAGATTTTTAAGATGGAAAACTGAACTTATCTGCGTTAAATCTTCCACAAATCCTATATTTAGACACAATTGCACTAATGTTTATCACTTTATATCTGTAATTTCGAACTGAAACATAATTATTTAATATTAAATAGAGGAATAAATGTTTGCCCAGTATGGCGGGTGGTTGTGTACAATGATGGCATCGTCCAGGTTGCCTTCAGGTTATTAGAATATTTTGATGTTGCCTGCAGGTGTTATACAACAATTTGACAAATGTCTGATATGAAATACCGACAGAGTCGAATGATTTACCCAGAATTTGTACTAGATATATATCTTCTGTTTGAACAGTTGATAAAACCTTTTGAACCGATATGCATGCGTTGTTTGTCTTAAAACATTGGTTATGGCATTTTAACAAAAATATGACAGCAGAAAGTTAGGTTATGGTGAAGTTGTTTACCAACATATTTATCATATGTAACAGTTGTATAAGTGCTTCCGTTGGGAGCAATTTGTTGGCTAATGTAGTAAATTGCACAGCAAAGCAACAAGGCTCGGGTTTGTTTTATAAACGTTAGCATGGGTACCACAACATATCCATTTTGACTAACTTGTAAATATGCCATATAAAATAGTTGTATAAACGTTTATGCAACAGTTAAAAATTTGCCCTATAAGGTGTTGTATAACTATGCTACAAGCATATTTTAAACACCTCATTTTAGAGCAAATATGTTGCAGAAAGCAAATTTGCATTCCACACAACATTAAGCCAGCAATAACAATAGAGAGCTTTTATGGCTGAACGGTTCTTTTACCAAAAGCTTATACCACTGCTTTGCTAGTTGGGATACCTCCACTATCGGACTATCACAAGGACTAATCATCTGACTCTTACTGATCTGCCCGAAGATAACATAGCGGGACAAACGATGTCATAATATGCAGATGATTCATGAGAACTAAATGAGTCTAAATGGCTAAACATAGCCATCGTTTGAGTATAGTGGGGAACGGAGGGGGCATTATAGTACTATGATCGGTGTGGGCTTACTCGCAATAACCATAAAACCGAGTGTATTGTGTTTGGACGACGACGAAGATACCCTAAACAGATTAAGATCCAAGTGTCAGAGGTCCAAAGGCAATTCAAGAAGGTTTCAAGTAGACCAGGGATATTCGAGGTAACTGGAAGAGGTATGGGGATACCTAAGAAGATTTTCGATCCCAGTGAGAGGACATACGATGCAATCTTAGAGTCCATTTAGATCTCCAAAGAAAATCGCGGTACTCAATGGAAGTACAAGGCAATCAGCGTATTGGCGCATGCGCAGGGGACACGTTCTAGTCGCCATTATAGTCCAGGGTTGCTAATTCTATTGGCATTTCACTAAACCTAACTATCTTATCTGATGGACATACAAAGGGACCCAAACAAGCTCAAGGAAATCGTAGGTGATTAGAGGTAGTAGAAGAGATTCCAAGGAGATCAAGACAAACTGAGCGGGGGACACTCCCTCGATTTTTAAGGTGTCGAAAGAGTGGTGGTCAAACTCCACCATATCCGAGACACTTCACAGACAGTTTACATTTTGTTTTAAGTGTAATTTTTCTAAATAAAAAGAATGGAAATGTTATTCGTGGAATCCAGTTATCTTTGTGCATAAAATAACAACCCGCAGAAACGTTGCTCGTTAGAATTGCGCAGCTACTTAGCACGAGCGCCACCACAATCCCAGTGATTTCCCATGGATTCCGTTTTGTGCCAACTCGCTCCTGATACAAAATATTCATTTTTTGCCCTCCATAATTAAAGCAGATTGCCTTGAATTATTACTTCCAGACTTCTCTGCCGCTGTGCTATTATCATTACACGGCATGGAATTATGCTTTTGTTAATTACTTTAGCGGCTATGACTTTTAATATACAGGGTACTAATCGTGACTTTGCGGACACGAGCTACACCCATCGGCACGGAATGTTAGAAGACGAGGAATATGCTTTTTGGAGGATTTAAAGTATATTCCCTGCACGATACCAGATTTGTCAGGGAGATAAGAATGAGCTTCCTTAGGCGAAAGTTATTTCAAAGGAGATCGAAGAGTACATTAACTAATTGGCTCCTTTATGACGTAACTGGAACTGGAACTCCAACTGTCAAATGTCAAAATTGATTTTTCACGTATGATGCGAGTTTTTGCAAGAATCGTACTGCGAAAATATCAGTGACAGCCTCGGACATAGTTCCCGCTCTGCGAAATCTAATGTACAGTGTCCCATTTTCGATGATCCACCCATCTGCAAAGCTGCTCTGGAAAGTCATTGAATGGAAGCTTGTGTAAGGGCTACAGCTGGTCGAAAGCTTCCGTGATGTCGAGAGCAACCACATCAGCGTCCCTCGTAGATCGCTGGTGCCAGGAGCCAAACTAGCTGTCGCTAATCGAGCTTGACATTAGAAGCTCCCTATTTCTGGCCTTTACCATCACCTTGCCGTCCATCTTCTTTCAAATTCCTCGTCTGTAGCTTCTTTCCCATTTCATCTGCTCTCCAAGTTCGGTGAAGCTTATCTTCACTCAAAACTACTGCCTCCCGTGAATGTTTCCATGCGGTCTAGTAAACTGATGGATGATAGTTGCTTATTAGACGGACCTTAGCAACTTCTGCATCTATGAAAGGTCAGTGATCTGAACGTGTTATACGAGTACAGATACGATTTCTTACATTTTAAACCTGTTAGGCTAACGTCACAAAACATAACCATTGTCGATGACTTGTTACCAAGGGCGGATTTTGGACTTTTTATATATAATATCTTATTATATGAGAGCAACATAAGTACGTGGCATTTGTAATTAACTAGTGTAATAATATTAACCATTAAAATATAAAAAACTTCATTGCTCTTTTAACCGAAAAAAATGACAGTTAGTGTGCTTCTGTTGCCTCCCCCTGAATCCGCCACTGCTTGTTACTCAAGGATTCGGTATTCGCCCCTAGTTGAAAATTTTAACTTGAATGTGCTACCGCATTCCAGCTTATTCACCTAGACTGTCTCACGCGTTTTGAATTTCTGCCAAATCGTTTATGCGTACGTATGTTAGTAAATTCTTGATACGAACACGACCGTCCGCCCCAAAATAACTTTATTTGACAGGTTGTTTGCAGTTTCTGATATACGGATTTTATAAGTTTCCGCAAGAAAGGCAATTTATTAAAGGTCGTTATCAGAATAGCTCCTGCATAATTTGGGATCTTGTAATGCTTGTGCTGTGGCTGACAACTTTGAGCAAACAATACTAAAAAAAGTTCCGAAGACAGATAAATAATATGAAGTTAAATACCTACCGAGGAGGTTATATGAAGAAAATTACTTCATAGCCTAGTTTTTTCCCAGCAGCTGCCACCATTGACGAGGTGTGCTCGTGCCAGATCAAGTCCTTTGTGATCTGGACTCCGACCAGCCGAAATAAACGACTCTCTCACTTAATGTTCACAAATTGTATACGCTTGTTTGACTCAATTTATACATTTAATTTCTCTCAGTGGAGGTAACTTTTGTTGAAGATAATTCTTCATGAACTAATGACATCATTACGTGGGCAGTGCTGATTCAACCTACTTGACGCCATTTATTGCCTTATACATAGTGCGTAGGCAACATTTTCTTAAGCAAGTAGTTGATCTGTCCCGCTCACCTTACAATAAATTGTTATTTTTCCTACTGCCTAGTCATAGCCAGTCTGTGATTTGCCCCTGTGGAATTATATTTCCAATTTCAGACTTACATATTTGTAAATACAATAGCAAGTGTTGTTTGAATCTTTTATATCCGTAGCTCAATTCTTGAGCGTTTTAATTAGACTGTACTGGGGAACGATTCCGGATCCTGACAATTGTCGACATTGGTCAAGAAGGCTGTTGCATCCGTTTTTAGCAAAATAGTATCTTCCTAGGTTTTTGTATATCATTAGATGTTTCGCTACGAAGATAATTTCGCCTTTAGGGGTGACTGTCCTATCAGCTCAGGAATACAGTTCCACGAAAGGTAAAAGAACCACACCCACTATCTCTTGGTTATTGGACTCCATCATTTCAAAAATTATCAAAAAAATGAAATGCGACCTAAATATAGTTTGGTTTAGATATTTCTTGGTCAAGTGATTGTAGAATGTGGTGGAAACTTCTTGTGATCTTGATAATTATATTATTCAAATAATTCTTATGAAGGTAGGTATTTAATTTTTTGAATGGACAAGGCTAAAAAATTAATAGTTATAATAATCACTTATATGACTGATTGAAGTACTAAATTATATATAACCTGAAAATAAGGCAAAACCAGGCAATACGTACTTCCCTTTAACAATTTCTTCAAAATCTAATATCCGCGTCCGAATCTAACCGAAGCATATCGAAATTCGAAAACCATGGCACTGCAGAAAAAACCGTTATCAGAAGCTGTAACGAAGGCGTGAGACCTGAGTCAAGCTACTTGACTTGATATCCAAGAAATATTTTTGAACCCTCAATCTCGGCCGATATCTAAATCAACATCGAGAGATGGATCAATTCCATTCAACAAGTTAAGCGGGTTGGTGGGGGGGATCCCCGGTCGACCCTCGGCGTTCATTCCTTATGCATAGGGAGGCGACGCCCGGCGTTCCTGGATGCTTTCTGGATGAGTACGTATAGTTTCTGGATTCAATACGTTCCAATTGGCGCGGAACTTCAGCCGCATTCGCGGTGGTGCACCTAGCGCGCCCCCTAGTCCCTCAGGGCAGAACTAAAAACTAATTTAAGTTTTGAAACGCGCCTCGCCGCCAATTTATTGTCTACGTTGCGGCGTCGAAGAGTGTTTCTTCTATTTCTCTTTACCTGTATTCTTGGCTAGTTTCCGCCTCACGTTGACTGAGATTGCGGTCTCTAATAGATATAAATACGGATCTTGTGGGATTAACGAGGACGAGGGTGACCTTTTTGCGAGATGGGGTGTCTAGACGGCGTAAAAATCAGTGCTGTTGCTGGAATGCCCCGCAACTCACAAATGGAATCAAACAAATTGATGTTCATCTACGTTTCTTAAAGCTTATTCTCATACAAATACTGTGCTCATAGACAGGAGAAACGTGGTCTTTTTTTAAAAAAATCCCAATACCCGTAATGATTATTTTAATTGTTCTGAGTAACTAAATTATTCGATCTATATAAACTGAACTTTCTGGAACCAGTTTAATTGAAAATAATACTATAAGGGCCAATTTCACCAACAACAGTCCGTTATTCTCCACCTATAGGGTAACAGACCGTCAGATACAGCGAATGAGCTTCAAGTTCCAATCAACAAATTTTAGCAACCAATAGCTATGAAATGTTGAAAACAAAATACTGAGATGACAACTTGTCATTAAAACATCACCAGCTTATTGAATATTAACACATTACATATAATTTAGTCAAAATTATAAGAAATGTTTTATTTTTGAATTAAATTCATGTTTTAATTGCTATTGTTGATTTTTTATTCATGTTTATATTATTTTCTTCAACTGATATGTGATGCAGATCAAAAATAGTATTAAGTTCCTTGTAGCAGTCGCGCTGCCCCGGTATTTAGGTTGCTACCTACGCGACTGCTTCTGTATAAAGAAACACTAATCAAATGTCGCTACCCACCTACCTATAACTAAACATTCCGTCTCAGAAACAAGACGACGCTCATGATTAGCTTTATAACCGTTGCTATTATTATAACTACCTCATGTCACAAACAGAAGGCAAAAAGCTGCTTCTAGTAACTTATAGCAAAAAAAACATCGCTGTTAACGTCTCACCGCAGCCTTTTTTGTTGAGACAAAGAAAGCACTACAGACCGAGGAAATCTATAATCTGGCAATGGAGGAGGTTTTTTTCTCTCCGTTACTAATGACCCCATGCTAGAGGGTACCCGGTGACGTTTAATAAACGAGGGAAAAATTGCTCGACCAGCTGTTGGACATGTCATGTTACACGATCCAATGCTCCAAATATATTAGGCAAATAAATCTGGCTTGTCCGTTAATTTTCGTAACATTTGCCACCATCAAGGATCATTAAGCACGATAGATGCGGTTATGTTTTATATTCCATACTCAAGCAATTTTAAACGAAACGATTTTCTATGGATACAGAAAATAACATACAGAACTAGAGGCACAGTAGAAATTGTAGTGTATTATGTTTTGTTATAGGGTCAAACCGAAGGTCATTTTTTCATCCAAAGGCGAAGCCGAATGTTTTGTTTAATCCAAAAAAGGGGTTGGGTTTTAAACATAGAAGTGCTATAATAAGAAACGTTTTTGTCCATGGATCTGTTTGTAGTAAATTGCCTCAGCTGTAACGTGTTGGGCTAAAATATTCCATAATGAATTTGACGAGTAGGAACTGAATTTCAATATCTAAGGAGGTGATTTCTGGGTCCATTTTGAGAAAACTTTATTTGAACGTATGTTCTAAATGTTGTAACTTTTGAGAAACAGAATGGTAGAGTTTTCAATATAGAAAGTTATGAAATCGGTATTCATTTACGGACAGACTTGATCTCTTGAGTTTTTTAATCCTACGCACGTTTTTCACATAAAAAAATAGAAGATATGTCTCTGCATTGTGATATTATCATATTAATGATATTATTATCACTAAGCAGTAAAACGGTTTAATTTTCTTAATCAAAAACCGTGCATCGGATTAAGGCGGCCCCGACGCAGTGAGTTTCAAGCCATTTACAAGGGTTCAGCTGCTTCAAAGCTGACACTCCATTTTTCAATATTTTTCAATGAAATTCATACAGTATGTTGAGAAGTTAATTGCCCAGGGTGCTATAGGAGGACTTTTTGAAATTTTGTTTTTGCACCAGTTTCATGATGGGTTGAAGTGCGCCCTTATTCTGTTCAACCTTTTTAAAAAGAACCTAGTGAAAAAATGAAAAAGTGGCTCTATAGCACCCTGTGGGGTTTGGCTTGGCACTCTGTGAAAATTTCATCCAAAAATATCAAAAAATAAAGCGGCAATTTCGAAGCGCGCAAACTTCTACAAATCGTATTTTGGACGGATTTTGTCTACTGTTTCGTGCTGCCAAACCAAGCGTTGCGGCGCAATGTACAGACTAAGAAAGGACGTATTCAGGTGGCCCTATTTCATATAATATCGCGTAGATAAGTCGTTCTGCAAACAGGTACTCATAATCACGATCGCTGATACTCCTCGATTTTAAAGCCGTTTTACTTCCCACGTCATTGGCGAGGAAGTGTTGTAATCGTAAAAATTTCTAAAATGAGATGTGATGTTTCTTAAGTCATATGACATCTACATCACGAAAAACTGTATCACTCATCAACTTGGAAATTACCGCTCGCATTTTTATGAAATTTCCACACGCAGTTACGAGTATGCCAAAGCTTTGTAGTTTTAGTCCAGTGGCAACGGTGCTATAGGCAAAAAAGGAAAAGTAACAGTTGCTTCTGATCCCAGTGATTACAGGAAATTTAAGCATCGAAAATCCGACGAATAATGTGCTCACGATTTCAAAATCGGTACCTGCTCTATAGGTTTGACACCAACAGCCAACAGATCTACAACTACCGACATAAGGGCATAATAAATTCGGATATCACTCCAGTCAAGTATAGGGGGAATTAGCGTGGAACTTTAAAATTATCGATATATCAAGGAAATATGTTTTTGAGAACGATCATTTGGTAGATTTTATACCTACATTTTGTGCCCATTTCGCCGTTACCTTTTGTGTTCTGCAGTTTGTGATGTTTTTCTGGATATAAGCAGGCCATAATTGCCTGCTTATATCCAGAGATATCAGAGCTTTTTACAAAATTTTGTCTTTGCGCAAGAATTATGGTGGGTTGAAATGCTCACTATTTGTGCTCAACTTCTTGATATCTTAAAAAGATCCTAGTGGATAAAATCGAAAAAGTGGATCGCTGGCACCCTGTGGACTGTGTTTTTAGCACGCTGTAAGAGTTTTATTTGGAAATAATAAAAAGTAAGCTGAGAAGTGCAAATCGGTTTTTGGGCGAAACTCATCTACTGTTTCGTCCTGCTAGTCCAAGCGACGCGACGGTGCGTTTCGACTAAGAAAAAATGTATTCAAATAATTTTATATCTTTCCTAAAATAAATTCAAGAACTCAAATTCTAATTCGTTTATTCATGTCAATAAACACAATTATGTTTACAAGGGTCGTGTGGTAGATGGTAACAATTGAACGAGGGTCATAAAAATATCTTATGCCATCAAAATAAGAGGGAACAGTTAGGTAGGTTTTGCAAAGCGATAAACAGGTAGGCTTATACCTGGATTACGTACATGTCTTGTCTACTGTAATAGGTAGATGGAGGTGATGCTGCCAGAAATGGATGTGTGCGATCAATAAACAAACCACAAGATTGAACTGCCGTGTCCAATGATTTTTGTATTGCCTTTTTTATTGCCTTACTATAAAACTCTGTTGGGTATATGATGGAGTTTACTCGAACTTTACAGCTTGTTGTCTGCCTTCTTCTACAAATTTCACCAAATCGAGACGCTGTCAACCTTATCCTCCGACGAAGACACCACAAAGCACAGTCCTGTGATTTGGTAACTTGTTCGATATGCAAAATCTCGTCGTCACTTTTTCTAAGTTTCCCTAAAAATTCTTGCTTAGCAGCCTCCAAATCAATGTCGTTCATGTCAGATTTTGACAGAATTCGCCATAAAACTATTATATATTTTCTTTGGAATTGCTATCCGAATTGTTACTTATTTGTATATCAACTTTTTTTGGTCTGAGTTTCTTTCCAAGATTCTTACGTTTGCTTCTTTGTTCCATCTTAGTGATAAGCGAGATAGGACTAAGCTTAGAACGCAAATGTATTTGGACCACATAGACAGGCCGCTCGGTATTGTGGCTCACTACAGTTGCAGCACATCTTCCATGGTATGACCTCTTCTTGCAATAATTTATTCGCTTACCCCAATGTATTTTGCGATTATAGAGTTGAACTGCTCCACACTATTGTTGTCCTCATCTTGAATTAAACTCACTGAATTCGTAATTAAAATTGTCACATATGACCATTAATTGTCCATTATCAACCTTGATAAAAAATTCACTCAAGAACAATCACACCAACAAGAGTACAACACAACAATTCGACGAACAGTATCAAGGGTAGAACAATACTAAATGATCA